TCTTTTCCTCCTTTCCTCTTTTCCTCCTTTCCTCTTTTCCTCCTTTCCTCTTTTCCTCCTTTCCTCTTTTCCTCCTTTAAGCTATCGTTCTTAAGGTAAGTTTTACGCGGTCGGTACGATATAGGTACGGCCCTAGAATTCCTATACGGGATCCCCGGTGCTATTCGGCTATATAGTAAGGGATCTAACGGGGTTCCGGGTCGCGCTATCCTCGCGCCGCCCCCGCTCCGCTCCCGTAACGCCCGCCTCGGTCTAACTCTCCTACCCCTCTAGATATCTAGTAATAAGACCTCTATTACTAAAGGGGGAGCCGGTGCCGGCGCCTATAAGGGTAAAGGGCCGGCTACCCCTTAGCCTTCTACTATAAGTTCCCCGCTCTATTATCGTTATGCCCGCTCTACGCCCCCGCTTTATATTCTAACCCGGTATAGTCCGCTATTACCCCTACTATCCGCTTATCGCCTTATACCTCGTGCATCGTGTCCCTAGTATAAGACTACTAGGCTATACCCTACTAAAACCCCCTTAGTATATAGTCCCGTTATATTCCCGCTACGCCCCCGCGGCGCCCCCACTCTATACCGTATTTACTAACCCGACTTAGGAGCCGGCGCCCGTTATATTAAGTATATTAATAGTAATCGTAGTAGTAGCTACTACGCCCCGGTTTATCCCCGCTATACCCTCGCTACGCCCTTACTCCTTTAATTCTCCTATTAAGTCCCCCCCCCTATAACGACACCGCTACTGCCCGCGCCGCCCTAACTCCTTTTATAGGTTTTTCGCCTTCTCTGTCGTACTATATACGCTACGTCCTTATTACTAATCCTATCGTAGAATATCCGGAAGTATTAGTAGGCGGTTACCCGCTAGACTCGCGCTTTTCGGGCGTATCGCGTCGCCCTCCGCCAGGCTAGTAGTATTAGTATAATCGCCGCCCCCGCCGCCGCGCCCCCGTAGAGCTATAGTAATAGCTACGCTCGTAACGGTAAGATATTAGAGCTTATCCTCGCCTACCTTATAAGTTACCCCGCGCTGACCCCGCGCTAACCCCGTTACTAATATGTATTATAGGGTATCCCCGTTCCTTTATCGGGGGATCCTACGGCCTTAGCTACCGAGGATAAGGGTAAAGGTAAGGATAAGGTTATCCTAGTAGATAGTAAAGCAATTAGCTCCGATAATAACGATAATAAGTCCGCTAAGTATATAGATAAAGAGTAAATATAGCGCGTCTATAGTGTAGTCGTATAGCGGCTATTAATAAATATCTTACTCTCCTTTTACTTATTCCCTTCGTAGTCGTCTTTACCTCTCTTTATAGTCGTCTTCGCCTCCCCGTGTTTATACCCGAGGTTCTAGTACTATAGGGGCTTTACTATGCCTCCGCGTCTAGTTATTATACTAGTCGGAAGTCCGGAAGGCGCCCGGTTTATAGGAACCACTTCACGACCTTCCCCGCGGTCTCCTTACTCTAGAGCGCTAGGAGCTAGTCCTATTTTATTAGTAGGCGCGCGCCCGTATCGGCTATAAGGCGCTCTTATATCTCCTCTAATATATCTCGGCACTATAACGCGATATATTCCGCTATCTCCGGCCCTTTATCGGTGTACCGGTAACACGGCGTCGCTGTTTCCGGCACGCCTCTTATAAAAAGGAAGTAATAAAGGCTTATTTTCTCCGTTTGAATCTAGGTAAGGATAGAGCTCTATAGTTTTATAAGGCCCTTATACTTCCTAAGCGCCGTGTAGTCGAATTAGGGTATCCACGCTACGGCCACGCTATTATATTAGCGTAGTAAGGTACGCTTTTACCGGTACGCCTATTCCTCTTAAAGGCGTTAGGCTAATTCCCTCCTAAAGAGCTAGGACTCGACTTCCTACTTTTATACCCCCTAGGACCTTAAGTAGGGCCTAACCCCTCCCCCGCGTCTTCTACGCTACGTGGCTACTTCGGCTACTTATCGTACCTAAAGTATCGTTTACTCTATCTAGGTATCCTTTATACGTAGCACCGCTTATACGGTTAGGGCGTTATAGTATAAGTTAAGGGGGGGGACCCCCGCCTTTATCTTAACTACCTTCGTAGTAGTAGCCCAATACGCGATGGTAATAATACGTAGGTATTACGCCTACTTATTAGCTAGTCCTTTAAGAACTCCGCTCGGCTTCTCCTCTTTTCTTATTATTATGTAGAAGGCCGGGGCCGCGTATAGTATAGCGCTCCGGACTACTATTTAGTATAGTTTACGCGTGTCCCCGATACAGTAGCCCTATACTAACGCTATAAGGCGCGTAATAGCGTATTTCTGGGTAAGGAGTTTAGCTTTAAGTTTCCTAATATAGGGACGGAATATAAGCTTCTAGTCGAGGATAACCCCTAGGACCTCTATTTCTCTAACTTACGGCGCCAGTGCGCCCTTAAGGCGTAGCAGGAGTGGTAGCGGTTCTTATTTTCTTATAAAGTAAAGGAGCTCGTACTTCCGTGGCTTAAATCGTAGTCCGCTCCTCTATAACTAGCTTTAGCAGACTTACTATACCCGTTCAAGGTATACTCGTAGTACGGCCTTATTACGTCTAAAGGCCACGATATTTATATTATCGGTAAAGCTAACTACCACGACCCGCGGTATCCGGATTAATTCCTAGTAGAATATTCTAATAAATAGTATAAAGAGAATTAAGGAGAGGGGGGATCCTTAGGGGACTCCCGCCTAGATTTCTACCTAATACGCCGTGTTACTATTAAAACGCAGGCGCGCCGTGCGCGCTATAAGGTATAACTAGGTCTATTTCATAACCTAGTCCGGGAAGCCGTACTAGGCGAGGACTTTAAGGAGTTTTTAGTATAGTACTATATCGAAGGCGCCTTGGATATTAAGCTTTAATTACGCTACGGCCCCGCCGCGCTCCTACGTGGCGTATACCCCCTCTATAATAGCCCTAACCGCTATCGTTACATCGCGGTATCTACGATTACTTATCTATCCGGCGGGGAGGAGTTAGTACTCCTCCGCTACGGTTATAATTCTCCTTACTATTATCTTCTTAAAGACCTTCCCTATTACGCTAAGGAGTAATATCGGTCGTTACCCTAAGGCTATCGTATAAGCTTCCTTCGGTTTACCTAGTTTCTTAAGTATTACTATTTCTACGGTATAGTATTATTACGGGAAATATACGGCCTTAAGGCTCGCGGAGAAGAGTTATACTAGTCGCTTATAGAGTGGTTAGCTATAAACGAGTAGGAATCCGTTCGGTAGGCCGTCCTACCCGGGTACCTTCTACTTTATTATTTATTATATAGCCTACTAGACCTCCTCTTCCGTGACCTCTTATATAAGTAGTATTACCGCTATTCTTAGCGCGCCGCTAATATGCCCGCTTTTTATAGGGTATAGTAAGGAGA